CAGGCTTCCCGACAGTGGTTTCATAAGTTCTCACAAGTGTTACTTCAAGAAGGTTTCCATCAGTCATAATGTGACCGAAGAAGACACAAGCCTTAGAACGAGGTGAAAATTTATGGCGATGACTATCGAAAGTGGAGTAGTAGCATAGACTACCAAAGGTACGCAAATGATCATAGGATGATTTTTTGTGAGTTAATAGTTCAAATGAAGTTTTATTAGATAACAAGTTGGAAATTTACTCCTCACCGACACCCTAACTCTACATGATGTTCTATTTGTCCCTCATTTTTCCTTTAACCTTGTCAGTGTCAGCATGTTGACCACTACCCACAACTGCACGATTAATTTTTCTCTTCATTCTTATGTCATCCAGGACCGCACTCGAGACTTATTGATTGGGAAGTGTAGACACATTGACAACCTCTATTACTTAACTACTACATATTTTCCTTTTCCTGCTGTTAATTATGTTTCCACTAACTCTAAAAGTAGCATATGACACTTTAGAATGGGTCATCCTTCCTATGTAAAACTTCAGTATATTAATAAAAATTTACAGACTTCGAATATTTCTCATTACAAAATTTGTCATTTGGCTAAATAACGTAAATTGTCTTTCGTTTCTGAAAATAAATTATCTGACCATCCATTTGATCTAATCCACATCGACATTTGGGGTCCCTTCTTTACACCCACTATCGAAGGATACAAATATTTTCTTACAATTGTTGATGACTGCACTGGGACTACTTGGGTGTATCTCCTTCGTCAAAAGTCCGATGTTCTTACCATTTTTTCTGATTTTTATACTCTCATCCTTACACAATATAAAAGTCTGATGTTCTTACCATTTTTTCTGATTTTTATACTCTCATCCTTACACAATATAAAACTCCCATTAAATCTATGAGATCTAACAATGCGTATGAGTTGAATTTTCATTCATTTTTCAAGTCAAAAGGCATTGTTTCTTATCATTCTTGTGTTGAGACTCCAAAATTAGTTATTTATAATGTAATCGTTTTTGTTTTCTTCTGCTATTGTACAGCACCAAATGACAGTATATGTTAAAATTAATGATTTTTTCTGTTAAGTTTAAATTCAAAAAATGGAAATCCACCGTGAAGTTGAATCATAGTAGGATATGTAAATTTCATGCGATGTGTATGCATGATTTTCTGAGGATCTGATTTGATCATTTGGTTGATGTAATCAGTTTAAATTTGTATTGCTTATATATATATGAGGAAATAAAAAGAAAAAAACACTTCTTCTCTCCAGCAAAAGCACGTCTCTTCAGAACAGCAAAACAGAGGCAGCTGCATAAGCTTGCTCTGTTTTGCTGTCTCTCTCTCTTCAACTTTCTGTCTCTAAGTTTGTTCAATCACAAAGCTTCCCTTGAAGCTTATTTTCGCTTTCGATCAACAAGTGGTATCAGAGCCAGGTTCTCCTACGTCTCAAGTGAATTAAAAATTTCTCAAACCTGATGGCTACCTCAGGAACTACCCCTGCTCCGCAGTTCAACGGAGAAAATTACCATGTGTGGGCAATAAAGATGCGAGCTCACCTCAAAGCTCTGGGTTTATGAGATGTTATTATAGACGATAGCGAACCAAACCCACTACAAGAAACTACTACATTGAACCAGATTAAAAGGCACGAGGAAGAGAAGGCCAAGAAACCAAAAGCAATTGCCTGCCTCTTCTCAGCGGTTTCGGACAGGGTTTTCTCTAGGATTATGAACTATGAATCACCCAAGGAAGCGTGGGAGAAACTGAAGGAAGAGTTTGATGGAGGAGACAGAAGCAAGAAGATCAAACTACTGAGGCTAAAAAGTGAATTTGCTTTACTCAGAATGCAAGAAAATGAGTCTGTTAGGGACTATGCCTCCAAACTCTCGGATATTGTGAATAAAATGAGATTGTTGGGGGAGGACTTTCCTGAATCAAGGGTGGTAGAACAAATTCTTATAAGTTTACCACCAAAATTTGAGTCTAAAATCTCAGCCTTGGAGGAACTTGCAGATATTGATAAGATTTCTTCAGCTGAACTAATCAATAAGCTGCAATCACAGGAGCAACGTGTCAACATGCATGC